ATAAATCATCCACATACCGCTTAATAAAAGGAATTTGAAAATCCAAAAGACCTAAACGGTCACATACCAAATCATCCAGTACATAGTTAAATAGGATGGGAAAGATTGAGGAACCCATAGGTGTGCCAAATATTTGGAGATAAAATTTGTCATCAAAGACCAAGAAATTAGTGTCGAAAAGTAGTTGCAAAAGTTTTGCATACATCCCAAGAATCAGGGCAGTTAGGTTTAATAGAATTCCAATGATTTCTTAAGGAGGTGATAACGCTGAAGAAAAGTAAGTTAGTGAGAAGAGACACCACATCAAAACTTACAAAATGTAGCCTTGTGGTAGTTTGAAATTATTAATAAATTTACTAAAGTGAAAAGAATCAACAATATTGAAATTGTTATTGTAATTATAGGATTTGGATAAGATATCCGTTAGAAATTTAGAGATATTCACCTAATATTAATATCTATAAATTTCTAACGGATATCTTATCCAAATAATATAATTACAATAATAATTTCAATATTGTTGATTCTTTTCACTTGAGTGAATTTATTAATAATTTCAAACTATCACAAGTCTACGTTTTAGTAAATTTTGTTGTAGTGTCTCTCTTCACTAACTTACCTTTGACCAGCGTTATCACCTTCTTGAGAAATCATTGGGATTCTATTAAACCTAACTGTCCTGTTTCTTGAGATGTATTTACAGAACTTTTGCAATCAGTTTTCGACACTAATTTCTTGGACTTTGATAACAAATTTTATTTCCAAATATTTGGCACATCTATGGGTTCCTCAATCTCTCCCATCCTAGTTAACTATGTACTGGCTGATTTGGTATCTGACCGTTTAGGTCTTTTGGATTTTCAAATTCCTTTTATTAAGCGGTATGTGGATGATTTATTATTAGCCTTACCACCTGACAAGGTTCAGGGCATCTTATCCTTCTTCAATGAGTTTGATCCTCATTTACAGTTCACTGTTGAACATGAGGACACTGTCACCAATAGTATTCCCTTTTTAGACATGCGTGTCATTAGAATGGAAGACAACACCCTAATCACAAGTCGGTATAGAAAACCGGTGGCCTTTAATAGGTTCGTAACAATAAAAGACTGAAAACTTTGTTTTCAAACTTTCACAAAATTTATTTTAACTCTTATCACTACAGCTGTTTCGGCTGATTGCCTTTCTCAAGTGATCTATTTTTGGCATGCGTTTACAATTTATAGTCTCTAATGAAATAGGTTGAGGAGGGAAGAACTGTTTGTCTCAAGTTGGTCACTCAGAATTATATCTGTGTTTTTTAATTTGTTGATCTCAATAGATTCTAACGAAGATAGCTTAAGGCCTTTATTTTGAATGTGAAGAATATTAAATTTGTCATTAAAAGAATGATTATGATCTAGAAGGTGAAGTGCGTATGTCGAATCTGTTTTTCTATTATTGAAAGCCCTTCTATGTTCTGCTATTCGTTTATTAAAGTCCTTACCAGTTTGACCGATGTAAGTTTTTGGGCATTCACCACATTGAAGTCTGTACACGCCACTATTTAAGTGTTTTTTTATTTTGGCTCTTGCTATTTTTAATATATTTGCCTAGGTTGTTATTTGTTCGGAAAACTGGTGTTATTCCTTTCTTTTTTATGTGTTTGGCTATTTTTGTTGTTATTTTGCCTGTATATGTAATCGAGCAGAAGGTACTGGATTTTTTCTCTGGTGGTGGAAATACTAATTTCAGGGCTTTCTTGTGTAGTTTTTGATTTAACAGTTTATTAATTGTTTGTTCGTTGTATCCGCTGTTTACTGGTATTTGCCTAATTATATTTAATTCTGTCTCAAAGTTGTATTTTGACATTGGAATTTCTGTTAATCTATGTAACATACTATAATAAGCTGCCAGTTTATGTTGTGTTGGATGGGATGATGAATTGTGTATAGTCGTGTCAGTATGTGTAGGTTTATGAAATATGTAGAAGTCATGTTTGTTTTTAAGTCTGTACATACAGATACTAACACGACTATACACAATTCATCATCCCATCCAACACAACATAAACTGGCAGCTTATCATAGTATGTTACATAGATTAACAGAAATTCCGATGTCAAAATACAACTTTGAGACAGAATTAAATATAATTAAGCAAATAGCAGTAAACAACGGATACAACGAACAAACAATTAATAAAATGTTAAATCAATAACTACACAACAAAGCCCTGAAATTAGTATTTCCACCACCCGAGAAAAAATTCAGTACCTTCTGCTCGATTACATATACAGGCAAAATAACAACAAAAATAGCCAAACACATAAAAAAAAGGAATAACACCAGCTTTCCGAACAAATAACAACCTAGGCAAATATATTAAAATAACAAGAGCCAAAATAAAAAACACTTAAATAGTGGCGTGTACAAACTTCAATGTGGCGACTGCCCAAAAACTTACATCGGTCAAACTGGTAGGAACTTTAATAAACGAATATCAGAACATAAAAGGGCTTTCCATAATAGAAAAACAGATTCGACATACGCACTTTACCTTCTAGATCATAATCATTCTTTTAATGACAAATTTAAAATTCTTCACATTCAAAATAAAGGCCTGAAGCTATCTTTGTTAGAATCTATGGAAATCAACAAATTAAAAAACACAGATATAATTCTGAATGACCAACTTGGGACAAACAGTTCTCACCTACTCAACCTATTTCATTAGAGACTATAAAGTGTAAACGCATGCCAAAAATAGATCACTTGAGAAAGGCAATCAGCCAAAACAGCTGTAGTGATAAGAGTTAAAATAAATTTCGTGGAAGTTTGAAAACGAAGTTTTCAGTGTTTTATTGTTACATAAAATGAATTTTCATCAAGTAACGGTCGAATCCATCAATTATCTAATAGGTTCCTTAACAAAAATTCCTGTCATCCAATGAAATACAAATAAAACCTTATTAAAGCTCTAAGCTGCCGATTAAATAATTGACACATCCGATTTATCGAAGGGAATCCCTTAAATTATTAAGAAATACTCTAATTGAGAATTCATATCCTTCTTCTATCATAAATAAACACCTTTACTCACAAAGTTATGGATCCTCGTTTGATGACATATCCAATGGTGACCAAGTTAGAATCAATAAAAATAATTCAATTAATAGCATTGTTCTGCCAGATACTGATCTTGAGAATCCTAAAACCCATTACTCATCTTTACCTTATTTTCCTCAAGTTACTGAGAAGCTTATTAAACTGTATAAACAGAATAGCATACCTGTCAAAATTGCGGTCAAGAATGCTAAGACTGTTAGAAATTTGTTTTTAAAAAATAAAACACCCTTGTCCACTTTGGAACAAGTTAACACCATTTATCACATACCATGTGCTGAGTGTGATTCATGTTATATTGGTCAGACTGGGAGATCATTAAAAAGTCGTCTCACTACGCATCGTAGTGACATTAATCTATCAAAGCACACTTGTGCTCTGGCGCAACACGCGATCAATACTAAACATAAGGTGGATTGTAATGAAGTTAAGATTTTTGGCACCGAACACAATCTCGTTAAAAGACAGTTTTTGGAAATGTGTTCAATTCTTAAACACCCGAATGCTCTAAATAAGAGAACTGACATAAGTAACTTGAGCCAAATATATATTATCATGCTTTAATTTTGCAGAATTAGGCTTTATGATCTATTTACTATATAAGTGTCTTGTAAGGTGTACAATTTAACACATTTGTTTATTAAATAATTTAAATTATAATAACATATTAAAATAGAAATAAATTCATAATTAATTAAAATAATTCAATTTTTTCATTAATTCATATAAACGTATACAACTCACATTGCATGTACTTTCATTACTTCTCATACTGTAAATTAGTGTAATGTAGTGATTAGTGTAAACTGTTTAATGGTTAAATATTAGAATACAAATAATGTAATTGATTCATAGAATCTCCTACAAATTACAGTTCCTAGTGGATGAACCTTGGACTGTGGAAATTATTTTTCGTTAATCACCTGTGGCTGAATATCCAGCTATAATTTTGACGATTTTTATTTATATATGAGGTTGAATGAATTTCGCCTGTTTGTTCGTACTAGACTGGTTGATACGAGTAATTGCTGTTATCAATACCAATTTCTTTCATTGTTTGGTCTCTTAAAAGCGGGTTGTCATCCAAACTCATTTGAACTTTTTAAATACACCGCCCTATTATTTGGGTTGGTATTTCAACCTTGCTGCTATGTCATAATTTTGTGACCTCAAGGTTGGCTGTCTTTTCACGGTTTTGGCTCGATCGGTTTTAATTAACGCCATTTTACCAGCTGCAGTTGTGAGGGTTAGAGTGGTAACTTCATTTTATACTATACTTTTTTTTTAATTTTAATATAAAATTCTTGAGGATGCAGTCAGTATATTTGGCCCACAAGACAATGAAAACTCTTTGACTTACTGGCAAGCTTTCGAATTTATTTTAATTCTTTTCCAGGACATCAAGAGAATTAAATTCTCGTTTAAATGACGTGTCGCATTATACCGATTTCTATTTAAAAAAATTAACGATTATGTCACTACACCTACACCGGTGACGTCATTCCTACTCCATGTACGTTATAAGATATTTTATAACAAAAATCGACCTTTTTCGGGATTTCCCTTAAAACTCAATGGTTCTGCAAACAATGATAATATTCCATAATTTAGCCGTTCACTGTATAGTTACTATAATTAGTAAGTTTTTTTGGATATTCTAGTTCGAGGGGTCAATTAGAGATTCTAAACCAATATATAAAACTGGCAGCGTATATAAATTAAAGGCGTTTATAACATATCTGGCTTTTATTTCGTTTTTAGTAAGTAAATAATCCATTTTTTATATAGTTCCATGATTTTGGTACTATAATCTATTTTAATATTTCCATTATTTTAGTATTGCTGTTATTAGTGCATCATAGAAGCTGGTAGTTAAACCTACAAATTTTTGTAAAATTACCTTGAGTGAACTTCTATAATTGCAATAGTTCTAAACTTGGCTCTATCATTTGACGAGAGTTCCGCTCTGACAGTAATTACAATTTCTTCTAGTTGTTTGTTTAATTGAAATAAATATTCTTTCATGGCCCTTTTATTACCTTTCGCAATTTTTGTAAATACATTTTCAACTTCTGCTGTCCACCATACCTGTAAAATAAATATGTTATATCCCATATGCCTGATACATAGAAAAATGAATGAGAAAAACTAACTGAACATTGATAAGATGTGTGGAGTATGCGAATAAAACTAGAAAAGAAAAAAACCGAGTATTCTAAATAGCAAAATTAAAGTTAATGACAGTTATCTCAAATCAAACTTAGCTTTTAGTTGCGATCTATTTTAAATCAAAGATTGCATATTTCAAAGTGATCCGCAGGAAATTATTATTTTACCGATTTTAGTTTACGCATTTTGTGTGTGTGTGTATCTGGAGAAAAGATTAAGTTACCTTATTTCAAGCAAAGATTGGTTTATTTGTTGTACTCTAAATAACTTTTTAACCCCTTAAATATTGGCCATTTTGGTAACCAGAATCGCAACATGTCTAGCCATTCAGTTTACAAAGCTGTAGCATTTGCATTTTCTCATATATTGGAATCCCCTCGTATATGTATTAAATTGAAATTCCCTCATATATGAATTAAAATAACGAAGAATGTTTTCCATGTTTATCTGTTCCTATCGTACGAGTTAAGACCCAAATAGTATTTCGTTCTAATTACGTCGTCATCGAGTCGATAATAAACCATTTTAGTTTATGTTACGGATGCAAATTCTTCGATATTTTTCTTTGATTTAAGCCGCTCGATACTGCGTTTGAAATAAACACCCATTTAGAGGCTGAGAAGTTTTTGCCGGCAAGATAATTGCGACACTCTCGCTGAGACGTTGTTGGCGTTAACATATGTTTCTAGCGTTTGTCCAAATTTCACGTAAAATTTGTAAAGTTTTCTGTTTTTACCCTTTTTCATGGAAAATGTGTAGTGGTGTAAAATATAGTAGCAGTTTATTGGTTCAGTTACAGTTTTAAGTGAGTTTTAAAATATTGCCATTGTAATCAGTTGTACCTATTCCTATTTTTAAGAAGCCAAGTCCAGTTTAGTTTCCAACGTTTGTGTTCTAGTGCCTCAACTTCCTTTTTGTTCGTGTGTCAGAGATTGCGAGTCATTGTTGAGTTTTTAAGAAGTCCAGTTTACAACTCAAGTGTAATTTTAGTAAAAATCAAGGAAACTTTTTTTGTATTAAAATTTCAAAGTAAAGATAGACATTTTTTAAGTTATAATTGCATTCATACAGGTTAAAGATTGTAATATTTAAAATTGTAAATTTTAGAAATTTTGAAAATTTAAAATTTTTTCAATTTAATTCAAAATTTTGAAATTTTATTTTTTTGTCCAAAGATTGTAAACGAATTAGAACGCGCCTAATTATTATTCTTGTAATAACCGATATTGTAGACACTATGCATCCACTGCTAATACCCTGTATCGTTCATGTCGTACATTGCTTTAATGGTCGAATGTGAAGCTGCATAAAGATGTCATCGTTATTACAGGAGATACGGGAAAAATCGGTAAGTAACTGATTTTTTATTATTAAATATTGTGTGAGCTTATCATTTAAACTTTCAAAATGCTTGTATTTGATTAAATTAGTCGGAAAACATTGAATACTTACCAAATCTAACCATACGGGGTATTGTAAATATGGAAAGAAAAGAAATTTATACAAATAAACTCGAGATACGGGATATTGTATGTTCAGTATTCATTACATGATGAGTTATTATCAATATTTTATGAAAATTTAAATGAATGGTTCTGGTTTTAAAAATAATTATTGCCCTAAAAATATTTTATACCCTTTACGCTGATAGTTCCTGGTTTTAGTTTTTCATATCAATATTGAACTAGATTATCCCGTAATTCCCGTAGAGAAACCTTTTTTATTTTATTTTTCATATGTGTATTTGCTACAAGAAATAGCTGATCTAAATTTCTACAATTAAATAAAGCAAAAATGACTTTGAGTGTTATGGCAAATTTCCCTTTTTTACAGACAAATAAGTTTAGTCGAACTATGAAAATGATTGCTTATTGCACTGAAAAATCAAATGTAGCTGCAGACAGTCAGTCTTTAAGTAGTACTAAAAAACCGGATATGAACCAAGTTATACAAATTTAGAATCAAGTATATTAGATGGCTGATGAAATAACAAATAATAATTCAGAGGACCTAGCTTCCTGTGCCACTTCTATTGACGACAAGAATGCTAAACATAATTAAGATTAAATAGATCAGACACTCAATGATATAGAGAGCGATATTCCGGATGATTTGGCTTCCACTCTATTTAAAATGGCGATCAGCTCCTAGTATTATGTGACGAGGTGCTCTAGAATCTAGAACAATATGTTCCTATTACTTATCTCCAGCCGGCTGAAGATATTCTAATAGAGTTTGTTTACAATTATTCCGCTGGAGAAGAAAGTTCAAGAAAGAGAAAAGCACTTGCGTCTAAATGGCCGAGAAATAAAATTAAGAAATTAAGATTAACTGTTAAAGCGTATAAAGGTTATCAAAGGAATAGAAATGGCGTTGTTACACAAAGGGTACCCAGACCTGAAAAAAAAATAACCAACGCATGCAAATTTACTGCATGTTTAAAGTCAAAGAAACGCTTCTGGAAAACGTTTACAGACGAAGACAGATCTTCGATTTTTGAAAAATTCCGGGTGAATTTGGACTCACCCAGATGGAAGGAAAAAAAGGTCTACCTTACCGATAATGTGAAATATGTGGCAAGAATAAAACAGTCCACTGAAAGTCCTTCCCGTAGGAAGGGAACTTACTTTTACTAGCCAAGAACAAAAGAGAATGACAGAAAAAGGGTATGCAAAAAAAATGTTTTTAGGAACTTTAGGAATCAAGAAAAATATGGTTTACAATTGGGTGGCTAACACAGAACATGGACATAGAATTGATAACCCAAAAGGAGTTACGTCTGCAAGATCAAGATCTGATCATGCCTCAAAAACTGATAAGAATAAGGTGTTAAGACATTTTGCTAGAATCGTTGCCGAAACTGAGATCGCATTACTGTAGAAAAGATACCCAAAAGCTATATCTTAAACAATTTTTTTCTACCAAAATGGATCTTTTCCGGAGTTATGAAAATTATTCTAAATATCACAATAAGCAGAAATACGTCTTAGGCTTTCCAATATTTAATGACATATTTAAGCAAATGAACCTATCTTTATAGAAGTTAAAAAAGACAGATGCGACATATGCTGCTCTTTCGAAAACAATAGCATAAATAAAGCAGACTACAAGTAGTATTTGAAGAAAAAGCATAGGGCCAGAAAGAAAAAGGAAGAAGACAAGAAGAAAGCGTTGAAGGAAGAAAAGGCGCTCTGGTTGTGGATGTTCAAGCTGTTAAAATATGCCCCGTTATAAACTAAAGTGCAATTTACTATAAAATGAAATTGAAATGTCATAATTTTACAGTATACAACTTAGCAACTCATCAAAGTACTTGCTACTAGTGGAACGAAACCCAATCTGACTTAACAGCATCAACTTTTGCATCATTTTTATTGCATTACATTGAAGAAAAGGGCATAATAATGGCCAATTCTTTGTTTCACTACAGCATGAAAAATAATCTGCTCATAGATCAAAAGTTTCTAGAACGCGGCCATACGCAGATGGAATGCGATGCACTCCATGCTATGATCGAAAAAAAAAAATAAAAAATCGGCATATACCTCTGCCAAGTGACTGTTAATATTTCACGAGAGGCCAGGCGTAATCCATTTCTAATAGATAAGTATTGCTTGACATATGAATTTTTTAAAGACTACTCTCAGCCATCTACATGGAGCTACAATTCTATTTGTCCAGGAAAAAGTCAAGTGAGCCAACAGTTACCGATCTTAGACAATTACACTACAATCCGGAAAAGAAAAAGATATTTTATATAATTAATTTTGATGATGATCTTCAAGCTTACCCATAAGACAAATAAAATACCCTGAAATTTTCAACTACTATTGCATCAAACCTCTATTGCATAAGGAAAGATTAAAAATTCATTCAAAAAGTGGACTCACAAGAACTGACATCTCTTTTGCCTGCGAATTGCAGATATTTTGATGATAACTTACCTCATTTTTCAAAGTTACACTGTATTAAGAGTTATATTCTTTTTTTAAAATAACGTTGCATAAAGAGCTATACTTTTTTTTTTAATAAATAAACATTTACGTTAATACAATATTGTAATTTATTTTTCCAAGCTATCAAAAATTTTAATCAATAATATCCTGTAATTGCATGTTAGCTTTTATATATCTGACATAAAAGTTGATCACAAATTAATTTAAACTAAAATCTATGTTTATTTTATTTAATAACTGTTTATAAAGAATAACCAACAATAAATATTGATTTCATGTAATGTTTTCAATGTTTAAAGGGTTTTTTCTGTTTCCTATAAAATTTCACTTTTCGCATATACGGGGTATTAGCATTAAGCCATCAAAATGACAGCTCGTTTTATTATTTTTGATATCATTTTGTTTTGTTGTTTTTAAAGAAGGTTAACCTCTCAATGTAATTTCTATAAAAGGATATTTTTTATTTGCAATAATTTGTTTCTGTATTATATTTGTGACTATTAATATAGTGTTTTTGTATGGTCTATATTTTGTAACTGTTTGTGGTGAGATACAATAAATGTTAAATTTTTTATAAACCGTTTTGTTTATCTTGACTAACTCTATAACCCATTTTTTTTAGTTTCTTTCAAAAAGATTTATTTTGCATTTGTAATGATTATTTTGATAGTTACAACTAATTGTTGTAATCGTTTTAATTTGGCACCTCGAAGCCGCGTCCTTTTTAAATTGTTTGAGGTGTTTCCTTCTGTTTTGTCCATTTGTTCTAGGAGATTCAAGTAAGTAACACCTTTGTTTCATTTTTTGTAGTTGCCCCAATTCAACCCCCTTGTCATTTACTTATCCATGACCCCAGCTCTCCAAACAAACCCTGAGTGCCGTTCGCATAAGTAATGATTATTTTGCTTGCCCTATCTCTACCCCCAGTAACTTTTCTGTCCCTAATTTTCTACTCCTTATAATAATACCCTATCTGGTAGGCAAAATATATTCGTTACAAGATCAGGCTTAGAAAGATTGTATAGAAAATTTAGTACTATAAGAGTATACAGTATAACAGTTATGCTGCAGTATCTACAAAAGAATATATTACATTCACTAGTTTTCCCCGATGACCAAGTAATCTTTGCACAAGACATACTTGGTATATATCATATGGACAGGAAATTAAAGGAAAAATATGAGCTATAGAGACTTAAAATGAATATGTGTAAGACCAAATATTTATGTAGGTATTGAATACGAAGTTGCAGATTTGAACTTAAAAGAGAAAAACAGACTGTTAAGAGTTGTAAGACTTTTAAGTATTTAGAGTCAATGATAATTTGAGATGATACTTGCATAAAAGATGTAGAAATGAAAACAACACGGGGAAACAAGCTAAGGAACACTCCATGGAGTGATATAGAACCGTACTCTAACCAAAGAAAATAAAAAACGATCTTTTAGAGTACACTTCTGAATATTACTCTATATGGTGGAAAAATATGGCGAATGACCACAACAATACAAAATAAAATAAGAACAGTTGAATTGGACTTTATGAGATGTGTACAAATCACCAGACAGGATAGAATAGGAATAGACAGTGTACAGTAAATACTACAATGATACGGGTATGTACAAAGAATGCCAGAGCATATGTGTCCGAAAAGAATATTGGACTTTAAGGGGGAGACTGGGAAGATGAAAAGCGTAGTTCATTTACAATTATTAAGAACTGACTTATGCAGAATTTAAAAGTATCCCGCTGATAAAGTCGAAACCATAAAGGGATTTGCCTTTTCAGGTAAATAGTAAAAAGGGTCAGCTTAACAAATTTTATATTTTATTTGGCATTTACATTACATATTTAAATTAAATAAATATCTAGATAATTAAGGGAAAAAAACATAAACTAATGGAGTATTAGAATTTACTAATTATTATCTTTTTCTGTGTCGAGTCTTTATTAAATATATCCAAATTTTGAAAGTAATAAACAATTTTTGTTATGTTAAACAAATTGCAAGTGAAATAATAAAATAGTGAAGTAAAAATTAAAATGAATTAAAACAGGTACATACATGTAGCTGAATATAACTAAAAACTTATGGGAAAATTTCAGTAGTTGGCTGTATACCATCGTTTAATATAAAATATGATTATAATATTTTATATTCCATGTAAGGGAAGAAGTTTTTCAATTGTTGGTGAGGTGTAAAGTATGTCTTAAATAGTTGGCAAAAAAATACTATTCTTCATAAAAATTTCTACATTGCATAGAAATTAATAATCAATAATCAAATTTATAAAATTTTAAGTAGTATACGGTGAAAACCAAAAATATTGATTTATGCTTAAAAGTGAACTGCTTTTGAATTCAGGTACAGAACAAAATGTCATTTTAATTTTATTGTAGGAAATAAAAATTATTTTAAAATTTAGCAGTGTCAGCAGGTGCATTAATTTTTAATTTCATTTCTAATTTACCTTATGCAATATATAAAATCAAAAAATGAAAAAGTAATTTTTTATTTACTTGTTAATTTAAATTTATTATTTAATTATTAGGCCATGAATCTAAACTTGGACATAATTTTTAATACCTTCAAACATTTTAAAGTGACATTTTCTTGCATATCTAAATTTAAAATCACTTTCCTGTTCAATATTAATCAATAATTTTGATTTTCCCTATCTACCACTTAATATTTTGTAAGATTATTGATTAATGATTTCTATGTGATGTTTAACCTTTAATGAAGAATAATTTTTTTCATGAAATTATTGATAAAGAAGTTTCCCATTGTTTGCCAACTTTTTCAGACATGAAACTTAAAACTTAAACACAACAAGTCAACATGAATAAATATTAGCGTCTTTTTTTAAAGATAGTGAAGTCGACGTTACTAAAGTAACAAGACATTTACTCAACACAGACACTACACATTACTCCCTTAAGTTAGTGATACGGTATAGTCTAAAAAAATCATTATGAAATTGACTGGCCAGTTGTTTGTGAAAACCAGTGCCAATAAAATACAAAACACACACACACAAAACAAGTATAAATATTACATCACATAGATATAATGTCAAATCTGTGTCACTATCACTGTTGTCTCTTAAATAATTCATAATAATATTTTGTATATTATGTGTAGGAAAATATGAATTCTCAGGGTTCATATATGTGAGACTGCATTTTTCCAACTAATCGCATTAATGTTGAGTACTTCCCTTTCAATTAGGTGCAGGACAGATGCATTTAAATGTGGCGAAGTATTATTTCTTGGAACTATTGACCTAAGTTGATGCCACAGTAATATGGCGGAATTATTAAAATCGTATTACCCACATTTTGGCATAATTATCACAAAAGTATTCTTTTTTCAATGCGAAATATGTCGAAATGTCCACTAAATCCTTCTTAGTATTATTTATCTGAAAATAAATATCTTTGTCATATAAGCAATTCTGTATTGATAATTTCGTATCGCTTGAACTGGGAATTTTATTTAATTGCTTCCTACGATATGTTGCATTGTCCATAACTATAACACTATTAGGGGGGATGTTGGGTATTTACTTATTTTTAAACCAGTTTTCAAATATATCTGAAGTTGTGTTGTCATGGTAATTGAGACATGAATCACTGATATTTTTAGCTGAGAGGATAAGGCATTTGAAACCCATCCATCGACTGATCCAGCATGGAATATTGGTATTTTTTTTCCTCTATTAGAAGGCACTTTAATTGAACAAGATTGACGATTATCTACTCAACCTTTAGATGGCGTATCGTGAGTATAAAACCACGTTTTACCTAAATAAATAATAGGTCGTTTCTCTCAACGATACTGTTTAATTTTGTTTAAACATTCCATTCGCCACATCCGTAAACGATAAGATTTCATAAGTACCTGTCTTTTATCTATTTTTTGTGTACCCCATACGTTGCAGACACTTTCAAAAAGTTGTTCTACCGCAATTAATTTCAGTGTTGTCGACGTGAAGCCTGTCAACTAATATATCTAGTGTAGGTATAATTTGTTATTCATACAAGGCATACACTTTGCAACGAATAAGATCTTCATCTGCACAATCGAGCTTCCGAGAAATACTGTTATCCCGTCTTGTTAATCTTGGTATATTAAGATTACTTACAATTTTTTCGACTGTAGACAATTCCTTTTTACTCAAAGTTGCCGTTTCATGTAAGGCTTCGTTGAAAAACATTGGCAATCATTTGTTTTGCATCAGTAGATAAATGTATTCGTTGGCGGTGTTTAGGTTGTAACACTTGAATGAGATCACTTACTTGTTGATTTGGTTTTGGTTTATTAATTGGCAAAATTTCCCTGTTATATTCTGGACTCCAGGAACGCCACATTGTTTCATACAATAAAGGTAAATTTGACTTAAGTGAATTCACCAGCAAGTGTGCACACTCTAAATTTAAAAATAAACACTTTTATAATAATACTCAACTAATTTTTTGCACAAACTGAACACTCAAACGACTTTACTACCAATTCCATCGAAAGCAAACTTTAAGTGTTAGTGTGTCATCGTACAACTCTCTTCAAATTAAAATTAACGATAAATAACTGGTAGAAAGTTATATAAATTAAAAGTAATTTGTTAATAGGCCAATTAAGTTTACTTATCATAACTGTATATTTGGGTTTGTCAGTTGGAATGTGCTGTTTGAGATATTACCCGTTTTCCCAAAACATTAATTTCCACGGCCGGTCCAATCAATTTGACTAAATTAGCATCTTCATAATTTTGGGCGCATTTTCTTCGTTGAGACTTAAAATAATGATTAATAAAAGGATACAATAACTATGGGAAATCTGTATGTTCATAAAAAAGTTTTTTGACATTATGCTTAAATGATAATATTTGATCTGACTATATGTACCTACCTACAATTGACTTGGCTATATGCCGGTCCTGGCAGCCTGGGTAGCTGTGATAATTATACAATAGAGTATTTACAAGCGATTATTGAGTTATTAGTAACTGTTATTAAAATAAGTTTTATAATGAGACACTAAATTTCTGGATACAGTTTTAGCATTTTTCGTTATCTACTATTTTATTAGGACATGACCACAATTTTGAATAAAAATACGTTTATTTTGATTGTTTAGGCATCCACAACAATAAACTAAAAGTATTTACAATTAAAATTGTGGTTATTTCTCATTAAAAATAGTTTTAGAAAAACACATGGAAATATGTTAACAAACTAGTAAGTCTAAAAGCGGTAAAAACTAACAGTTCACATACTTGACTACCAGCAAGGGTTACCATTCCCTGATATTCAAACATCCATTTGGTTCTGGGTCTTCTGATTTTTCCGTAGTAAAATATGGCACTTTTAGTAATAAATCTTACGGACATGCGCATTTCTCTTAAAATAGCATTCATCCATTCTTCCACTTTTCCTTCAATAGAAACTGGATTTCGAAAGTCAAGAACTTCACCTTCAGACGATATCATAGCAATGGCTATTATTCTATCGTTGCTATCAGTAGAAAACCTAAAATATATTAAACAGAAATATTAAGTGTTTGTGAAAATATTTACTTAACTTTTAACAAACTTAGTACCTAGGTAAGTTGTTTTCTCTATAAACGTATTTTAAAGAAAAACTGCGTTCGATATACTGAAAACTTGTACAATTAATTTAATTATTTTGATTTATATACATCATATTTTCAATAGAATTAAATTTATACAAAAAATTATAATTTAACGTTTGTTAAGATCTTTTGTAAAGAACAAATTAACCCTGACTTTCACTTACAACTGTAATAATTGGGGGTCACCCCTGTAAAAGTTTAGAGAACCGATTATAATATTCGAGGGAGCCCTACTGTCACCATTGTAATAAATGTCGCTGTCATCATTGTAAAAGACGCCTGTCTCAAATCCTTGAATGCGTCTACAATTCTTAAGGGATACTTATCCCTGCGAGCGGAGGCAAGGCTTACTGGTCTCACTAGTCTGAACGGACTGGTTTCGCCCTCGCGGGTTTTCAGGAGGGTAGGGAAATTTGGGAAAAGGGGATGAAGGACTTCCAGATTTCAGGTCCTGTAAAGAGTTGAGTCTATGGGCTTGCTTTAGAAGCCGGAGAAAGGTATAAGCGAAAAATGTGTACTCTTCTAGTCTCTACCTGTAACGGCCGGGAAAGAATAAAAAAACCAAATTTCGAGTTTACAATGTATTAAATAGACTGTATACTACAACTAAGACAACAATATATCAGTTATAACCAATAAAGATTCGATCAGACGCGAAGGGAGACGAGAAGAGACCTTAGCAAGAAATTAAAGGGTGGACAATCTACGTTTATTATTTGCCCTGTGTTAGTATATAGATTTAGTTACCTTCGCGTATTTAGGTCCTAGCCAATAAATACGCCTTTCAATCCTACTGGAATTCAGGATCAGTCTGTTGAGGTACCGCGCGGTATCACGAATTTTGGAAACACCAGATACCCAGCATTTATACGGTACTCTATCCCGTCGAATTGCAATAGCGCGCTCACTGGTGCCGCGTACTTATTGCCCCGATCGCCCGTGCTTCTGGCACGGAGCACTCTCGGGTGCCTAGTTCTTACTGACTCACCTGGCCTACTTCGTTCGTTTTTTATGAACCCGTATCCTCGAGTTTATGCTGACCGAGCCCTCGTGCTTAAAATCGGGTCGTGCGGTGGTGTTATTTTCCAACGAAGGTCTATGTTTTAAACATGATTTTTTTCTTTTAAACAATCGTGTCGACCTGATATTGAGACTAGTGTGATACACTTAAACTAGCTCGATTTTTCATTCTTTGATTAATTTGAAACGTATACGTTAACTATGTCAAATTATTTGTTCTTTATTCAATTTGGAATATATAATAATTATTTAAATAAATATTACTCTTTTCTAGGCTAACTACCCCTTATTTTTCTTATTTCTTCTTTATTTCCTTGCTATGTTTACATTACACTACCAAAATAAAATAACTCTGGTATACAGGGCCGTTTAACTGATGTCACTTTTTAAACGCTGAATACAAACTTTACTTCTCGAGAGACGTTTACTTAGCAATCAAATAGCCATTTCTCACCTATAGTTGTAGTAGTACAGAAAAATTCCCTTGGTGGAAAAGAAAAAGAAATAAAAATCTAGAATGTTATAAACCCTATCAAAATGTATGGTGTGGAAAATTCGAAAAGTATATAAACAGGAAGTTGACAATTCAATTAGTAGGAGTAATTGAGTTTTTGAACAGTTTTGTCAATCAGTTTAAAATGTTAACAAGTAATATTGTTTGCTGTTCACAATAAAAATGACAGCGGTCAGGTAAAAAGAATATTAAATAATTAGTAATGGTTAATACAAGATCTACCTAATTTGATAAAAAAAAATGGATACGTCTGTACCGTTCTCATGGTTTTTAAAAATGGAAAAGGATATTTGGAAATTCAAATAGATAAGTTAAGAAGAAAAATTGGTACCTAAGCTTCTGCATCTAATATTATTTCTGTAACTAATGTCGAATCTGAATCTAAGTCTTATTATTTTCCATATTTACCAAGCACAACCAGAACTAACAAAATTTTAGGTTCCAACCAGGTCAAATTAAAACTAGCAAAATTTTAAAACCAACCACATTCGATGGCCAACATCATGAAAAACTAATCATTTTCATGTCAAAGCTGCAGCTAGAGCAAATGACTATCTTGAGAAATAAATGGCAACTTCCTTGGTATTGTCATGTTGAGGACAGAAAGAAACACCCAGTTACACTTCTCTCGTTCAAGCTTTAGAGACAAGAGATAACCAGCAGCATCTAGAGCAGGTTTTTCGAAGACAATTGAATATTTTGAAAACTATTAATTATATTTGGTGTACTCTCAGGCACCTAAAAATTTTCTAAAATAAATTGGTATACTGGCATCAAAAATGTACCATAGCAGCGTTTCTCAAATAGTAGATTGCCCCAAATGCCGGGTCGCCTACAACTGTCACAAAAAAGAAGTAGTCCTGAACACGACAATATTCTGAAGATTACTTAGAGTTCGGTTTTATAGAGGGTACTGATAAAAAATCATTACGTGTTATTTGTTATGCTGCACTTTTAAATGACGCCATGAAACCTTTAAACTTGAAGCGGCACTCGGAATTGAAGCAATTATTTGTGCAATTATACTAGCTTTTTATGAAATCTTCTTCTTAACGTGCCCTATCAAGTCCCCTTGACGTTGGCGATTAACATGGCGAAACTGTCTCTGTCTCGAGCTATTCTAAATATCCTAAATTATGAAATATCAAAATTAATTGCTAAACCCAGTTATCCTCACACAATTGCCGAGAAGTTAATAGTTCCAGTAATGAAAATAGTAGCATTTCTGATATGTGATAAAAAGCGGGAAAAGCAAGTAAATTTGCTGGTTCTATTAAATAACACAGTGAAGCGTAGGATTTTGGAGATGACAGATAATATTGAAGAAAATATTATAGAGAATCACTTAAGGAAGTTTAACTATTTTTCCTTGCAAGTTAATGAAAGCACAGACATATCAGATAATGCTAATCTAATGTGTTTTGAAAGATTCGATTTTAAAAATACAATTCACGAAGAATTTCTATTTTGTAAACCTCTGGCAACAAAAACAACGGCTGAAGAAGTATTTTATCTGATTGATAGCTACATTATTGATGATGAAATTTAATGGAATAAATGTGTGGGACAAGTAGCGATGGAGCAAGGGCAATGGCAGGCGCTTGTACTGGACTTTTCCGAGAATTAAAACCTTAGCACCAGAATATATTTGGGTGCAGTGTAGCATCCACATAGAGGCATTAGCTGTCAAATAAATTCCACTGCTTCTAACTGAATATATGCAAGAGTGTGTAAAAGTTATAAACTTTATAAAATCTCGCCTGCTGAACTCAAAAGTATTCTCTGCTTTGTACAAAGAAATGAGAAATAAACATGAAGAATATATTCTTTTACAGTGGAAAGTGCATTGGCTAATAAAAGAGAATATTCTAAAAAGACTTATTGCGTTAAAGGAAGAAATTTCAATATTCTTAGAACAATATGCACCAAAGGCTAGGGATGCCGGAATATTTCAATTTAAAGACAGTTTTTATCATCGAGTAGAATCTAGATTCTAACTCGGTGGTTTTCATGATGTCAATTGCTTAATCAAAGTAGCCTATCTTTGTGATATTTTTGACCTCTTAAACAATTTAAATATGACATAATGGGTAGCAACGTAATTGTATTTAAAGTACAAGAGAAGGTGGAAGCTCTAACAAAAAAACTTGTTTGTTGTAGCGAACACGTCGCGCAGAAGCAGAAAATTACAAAGCTTTCACAAAGCTAACAGACCATAAAAAGAGTATACCGTAAATTAATTACCAGATGAGATTTCAGCAGCTTTCAATAAACACCTGCTAGGACTGGAGGAAAATATAAAGAAATATTTTACACCTATCCACAGCAACAAAGCGTGAATAAGGAATCCATTTACAATGGACGTAGAATCCGAGACAGGACTTCCGGATTTAGATATTGAGTCAGTAATTGAACTGAACTGTGATAGGGCACTATTTGACATATTTAACCTCAAGATCGCTATTACCTAATGACCTATAAGGCCTATTTAGCAAAATACCACTAATAACTTTTTGGCTGTCTTGCCGCCAAGAGTTCCCAGTTAACAGAAAAATTGAAAACGTTTATAATAAATTTTGTTACGACCTATAAGTGTGAGGCAGAGTTTTCAACACTGGTTTTTCTCAATGATGGAACCGTTTGGAAGTCAAATAGGACCTGAGGATAAAATTATCATCTCTTCCTCCAAACGTGAAATTTTCAGTTAAACAGAAACAACTCGACACTTCTCATTAATAAAGTATTTGATTTTTATTTTGTTTTATTACATTTTTGTTTGAGCTTATGATTATTTAATAAAATATATAAAACTATAATAAATATCTAAATATGTTTTCTTGTACACACATATCAGAGTACGCAAAAAATTAGTGGGACACCAAGAATAAGCACAAAAATAACCGGGCCATGGAAAAATAAGTTTGGGAAACGCTGTACTACAGGATGTCGAAATGCAAAATTCTCTCCAATTGCAATATCACAAAACTTTAAATGGGGCACTCATATCAGCGCAGAGGTATGATGTGACGAATAATATTTTCAAATATTGCCCAAAATTCAAAAAAAAATAAGATTGCAAGAAAATGAGGAAGTCACTATCCCAGATAACCAACAACCTATTTTATTTCGAAATGGAAAAGCCTCGATAGAGTACGTCATCATTAGTGGCATTACAGCTCGTCATGAGCCAAAGCCTTTTTCAGAACAATCTTCCATTCGCCTCTATCTCTAACAACTCTTTTCCATGCTTTAACTCCGATAGATTTTAGATCATCCTCTATGTTATCTTGATACCTAAGTTTTGGACTTCCTCTGGATCGTCTTCCTACTGGTCCTCTCCGGTCGAAAATGTTTCTGATCATTGCATCTTCATCTAGCCTAATTACATGTCCTATACATCGAAGGCGTGCTAATTTAATACAT